AGCTGTTTTTTGCTTTGTATGTAAATAAGTTCCTGAATAAAAAGACATTCTGATTGGGGGTTCCTCCGTTGAAATGGCTATGTTTCACTTGTTTCCTACTATTTCACCAGGAAATCTTCTTTAGATGGTCTTTTTGAACTTGACAGAAATCTGGTACTGTCTTTATGACTTGGAGACAAAGACTTTTTTGTGTAGGAAAGACCCAGTACTATTCAAAATATTTATAAATGACTTGGATGCATGTTTAACAAATTTGCAAGAGAGACAAAATTAGGAAGGATAGCTAAGTACCCCAGATGATAGGTTCAGGATTCAAAATTACTTTACCAGATTAGAGAGTTAGGCCAAAACTAACAAAACAAATTCCAGCAGGGAAAAACTTAAGGCATTACATTTAGGTAGAAAAAATGAAATGGATAGATAGATGATTAATTACACTGTTGTGCCAAAATTCTGCAGTCAGATATGATACATTGCTCTTAAATGTTTCAAACATCGCCACATAAAACCTAGAATTTCCTTTCAGCTGCCATATGTTTTTTGTTTATGTGGAGCCATACAATAAAAGAGCATTGATTTGAGCTTACCTGGATTTCTGCATAATCAGGCTAAATCAGTTTTTGATTGCTGTTATATGACGTTTTGTTGGATTGCATTTTTAATATGACAAATTTAACTGTTGTAGTTGACACTGAAGCAGATTTAGACAAGCTTTGGAGTTTCTGGGGCCAGTTTCCAATGCGCTGTACCCACTGAGCACTTACAGTGGGAAAATCCTGAAAGTGGCCAGATAAATAAAGGGATTTTAAATGTAAAATGATGGGAATGGAGGCTTGTAATGTAATTGAAGGATGAATCACATTTGCTATAGAATTCCTGCAATTTCTAGATACGCTTTTCACAACAGATATTTTGGGCTGGGCATGGGGTGGCAGACGCTACAAGGGTGGGCTTTCCCTCTTGCTGTATTAATCTTTAAAAAACTAATTTTTCATGCCTTGGTCAGTGTTTGCAATTAAGAGGGAGAGGCACAGTAAAATGTAGCTTCTGCTGGATTCGACAAAGGAACAAAGACACTGGCAGCTTATATTTTCAAGATCATTGCCTGCATTGTGAACACATACTGTATATACTCGAGTATAAGCTGAGTCTTAAGCTCTTTTTTTAGGCTGAAAGCCCCCCTTAGCTTATATTCAAGTCAAAGTTGTTTATTATTTTACTCTGTTGTTACTATTATTATATTTATTATATTACTCTTTATTATTATTACTTTACATTATTTTACTCTTATTATTTGTATTACATTTATTATTTACTCTATTTATTGTAATTATTACAATTATTATTTTACTCTATTATTACATGTATTATTTTACTCTATTATTGTTATTGCATTTATTATTTTGGGTTGTTGTAGGTTTTTTGGGTTGTATGGCCATGTTCTAGAAGCATTCTCTTATAAACCCAATTTTCCAGTTTCGAACAAACCTCACAATCTCTGACGATGCTTGCCACAGATGCAGGCGAAACATCAGGAGAGAATGCTTCTAGAACATGGCCATACAACCCGAAAAACCTACAACAACCGAGTGATTCTGGCCATGAAAGCCTTTGACAATACATTTATCATTTTACTCTATTATTACTGTTATTATTACATTTCCATTATTTTACTCTATTATTGTTATTACATGTATTATTTTTACTCTCTTTATTATTATGGGAAGGCTACATAAGCACATTTGCATTTAAAAGGGTTAAGGGTTTAATCAGAGTTGGACAGTCTTACCTTAAATTACAGTTTTATGTAAATATTCAAAAACATTTAACCTACTGATGCCTCAATTAATGTAATGTTATTGGTATCTATTTTTATTTTGTAAATTATCAGTAGCTGCTGTATTTCCAATGCTTGGCTTATACTCGAGTCAATAAGTTTTCCCAGTTTTTTTGTGGTAAAATTAGGTGCCTCGGCTTATATTTGAGTTGGCTTATACTCAAGTATATATGGTAATTATTTGAAGCAATGTTCAGTGAACTTTTTTTACACTTAACAGTAGCCCTCTGGCAGATTTGACTTTGTCTTTCTCTCCTTCTTTCAGGCTTAATTCTGTTCATAGATGGGGAATTAATAGAGGATCTCTTTCTGAAGGCTAGCAGAAGGGCTAATAGTTGGGCAGAGTCTCTTTGAGGTGAAATGTGTCCATGATCCCGCTGGTAGTTGTACACCGATTAGCAATTGTTGGTATACATTCTGTTGACCTGTGACCAGCAATGAAGGACTTTAACCATAAAGACAAACAAAATTGTCTCTCCAGATTGAAAATGAGTCTGAAAGTAGGCTTTACCCTTAAAAAGAGAAGTTCAGCAATCTTATCTATTTCTTCAGAGATGTGCAGAGTCTTCTAGCCATCTGTAAATAATTTCCTCACTACAGTTATTAAAACCTTTTTCAAAGTGGAATTAGAGACCGTAGATTGCAGCATACTTTAGATGTGTGCTGAGACGTCGTACCACTCTGTACCAGTTATCTCGACTATAATGTCAAAGAAATGTTCAGCTCTGGCAAAAATGTTCAACTTGTCCTGAAGAGCTGTAAATCAGGAGGCATTGATTCATTAGCTAAATATGTGAGGAACCATAATTTGTATTTCTCTGATTGACATCTATATATACATTGAGTTAAGCAGTGGATTCAAATGAAGTTTACACATTATCCTTCTTGAAGTAGCTCTTTAGCAAAACAATCCTTTTGCTAAAAGCTGCCTAAAATCAACTCAAAAACCTTTTGCAGCTTGAGCTCCAAGGCGTGAGGAGCATTAGTTTGTGGTTTAACTTCTTGCTAGAAGTATCTTCCAATATTTGAATATGTTACTTATTTAGTCTCTTACCAGCCATTTTACCTACTCTCAGTGAGGGGCAGGGAAGAAAACTTGTGGAATGGTATTTGTTTTCAGATTAAAACCAGGTCATTTGGATAACATCCAGGTATTTGGCAGGAGCTGGTCCACTGGCTGTTTGCCTTTCCTCGTTCTTTTTTATCCAAATGTACTGAAACTTGAGAAAAAGAAAAACGTAACAGAGAATTACACTTCGAGGGAAGAATGCTATGTGCATGCCTTGTAAATCAAGAGTAGGAATCTTGTTCACTCCCAGAAGCTGGAATCATTTTCAAAGTTCTTGAGGGCCACATTCCAGTATGAAACCTAATATAATGATAAAAATACCAGTATATTTTAGTTTAGTTTAGTACTTCTCTTGCAATCAACTAAGCCATGCTGGTGTCATGTGGAAGGAGCATTGCCATCTGTGAGGCCACTGATGTGTCAGATTTAACTCCAAGGCCACACCCGTTCCAGTACAAAACTGGGAAACCATATTGACTCGAGTATAAGCCAAAGGTGGGAAATGCAGCAGCTACTGGTAAATTTCAAAATAAATATAGATACCAATAAAATTACATTAATGGAGGACCTTCTTGCAGCAACACCAGAAGCACTCCAAGTGGCCAGATACTGGTCGAAGGACATTTAATCAACTACCAAACTTGCAAATTTTGTGTTTTGTCTGTCTGTTTGTTTGTTTTGTTCTGTTAGAAATGTAATAAAATTGACTGGTTGCCCTGACACGACAAATAAATAAATTAATTGCGGCATCAGTAGGTTAAATGTTTTTGAATATTTACATAAAACTGTAATTTAAGATAAGCTTGTCCAACTCTGATTCAACCATTATTCTAACCTCCTGCAATATACATGTGTTTATGTATTTTCCAATAACAATTAAGTGAGTAAAATAATAAATGTACTATAATAATAAAATAAAATAATGGAAATCTAATAATAATAATAGAGTAAAATAATGGTAATGTAATACTAACAGTAATATTAGAGTAAAATAATAGATGTAATAACCATAATAAATAGAGTAAAATAATAAATATAATAATAAGATTACAATAATAAATGTAATCAAAATAAATAAGAATAATGTAATATTATCTATAATACTAGAGCAAAATAATACTTGTAATAATAAAAATAAACAGAGTAAATAATACATGCAATAATAAATAGAGTAAAATGATAAATGTAATAAAAATACTAATAACAGTGTAAAATAATAAGTAACCATGACTCAAGTATAAGCCAAGAGGGTCTTAAAAAGGGCTGAAAAAACTTATACTCAAGTAATTCCTATCTCTGTCCATTTTCCATACTGGTTAGAATGGGAATTGCAGTTCAGAAAGTACAGGTGACGGTTAAGATCAGGACTGCTACTCTTTCCTCACAAAATCAGATGAAGAAGCCTCAAAAGTATGAGCAACTTTGGCTATAGGAAATTTTGGCAGATCTTAATAGATGCTAGGCCCAGTTCTCCATAAACAAAAAACAAAAAAAGGAACCATTCCTTTTCAGCATAGACTGGTGAAAGGAAAGACCTTAGTCTGTGTTGGGAAAACCTAAAAGCAGCACCAATTCCTTCTACTCTCTCTGCCATAGTACTGTTTCTGACTTTTTTTAATGCGTTGACAGGGAACTAGACACAACTGGTATCCTGTGGAAGCATTGGTGCTTTCCCCTCTCCATGAAACGACCCTCAGCGTATCCATGGCTCATATCAAATCTATAAATTTGCCTCTGAAACATACTCTCAACTTATACATATCTGGGATGTTTTTTAAAATCTTTCAGTGTAGGAAATTTATCTGTTTGAAATAGAACTAGTGAAATGTAGACTGATGATGATCATGTACTTCTCTTGCTTGTGATCTTTAGCTTTCCCTGTCTTTATCCATTTTCTTGCAACAGACCGGCTAGCTTTTTAAATGTCTATTTAGAAAAATACACAAAAAAAACCCCTCCAACAACAACCTAGTACTATGCTGAAACCAGTTATTGATTGTTCTTTAGAGTGAGTAAAACTTCAGACATTGCATTTTACACCATGGACCTTACTAATGTGCAATTTCTCTCTCCTGCCTCTTTTGTTTTTTGCAGAGGATGCAGACTACAGTGCCTTTGGGACAGATACCATGACAAGGAAGAAAAACGTCTTAACAAACGTGTTGCGTCCAGACAACCATAGGAAAAAGCCGCACATTGTGATTAGCATGCCACAAGACTTCAGACCAGTGTCTTCTATTATAGATGTAGACATACTCCCAGAAACCCATCGCAGGGTGCGGCTATACAAATATGGAACTGACAAGCCACTTGGATTTTATATACGGGATGGCTCTAGTGTCAGAGTAACATCCCATGGGCTAGAGAAAGTTCCAGGGATTTTCATATCCAGGCTTGTTCCTGGAGGCCTGGCTCAGAGCACTGGTTTATTGGCTGTCAACGATGAAGTTCTGGAAGTGAATGGTATAGAAGTTTCAGGAAAAAGCCTTGATCAGGTGACAGACATGATGATTGCCAACAGCCGTAACTTGATAATTACTGTGCGACCAGCAAACCAGAGGAACAATGTTGTTAGGAACAGCCGGACTTCTGGTAGCTCAGGACAGTCCACAGATACCAGCCTTCCTAGTTACACTCCACATACGGTGCAGACATATCAACCTGAAGAAGAGGAAGACAGTGATGAAGATGATATCATTATTGAAGACAACGGCGAGCCCCAACAAATTCCAAAAGCTGCTCCTTCCAATGAAAGCTTGGAATCGCTAACACAAACTGAAACCCTTCATGAATCCATACAAAATGGCTTCATTTCTTCCAGGGAAGCAAACTTGTATTGTTCAACAAGCAGCATTAACATGGAGTTTCAAAACCAGGACTCAGAACAGAAGACCTTAGAAGAAGATGGGACAATCATAACATTGTGAAACTGCGTCGGTTTGTTGAGTTTCTGAAATCAAGAGGCCATAACTTCTTTTTAACTTGGCTGTATTGAAAACAGTATAGATCTCAGATTACTGTATTCCAGTAGGTTTTTTAGATCTCCAGAATGAAGTTTTGAGTCACATCTTTTGTTCCTTTTTGGTACATAACTAAATGAATAATACTGGAACATGGAGTGGCTCTTATTTCATTGTCAGACAGGACAGCATTGCGGTAACTTAAAATTGTGCAGATGCATTTTTCCAGAGATGTTTTTGAGATGAACTGTACATTGATAGGTAATGTCGCTTTTCATGTTTTATCGTCTTGGGATTCGGCTGCATGTGTTATCAATCATGGAATTGTAAATTTGTCTTCATGTGAGCATACAGTATTTCAGCACAAAAACATTAATGAAACATAACTACAGCTATTTTATGCTAATTAAAATATTTTTAAATAATTAAAAATTGATCCATTTCCTTTTCTTATAAAATTTAATTAAATTTATAAAATTAGAAGGCGACTCTTGGACTTAATGATACACTGGATAATTCAGAAGAATACCTGTGTTTTCGCTTTTTAAAAAAATAACACTTTGCTGTATTGTGATTTACTACTGATAAAATCTCCACTGTAAATTGTTTGATCTACAATGTGTGACTATATGTGTGTGTGCCCTTTAGTGATAGGAAATAGCATCTTGAATGTGTTGTCATAGACTTTCGTGGCCAGAATCACTGGGTTTCTGTGAGTTTTCCGGGCTGTTATGGCAATGTTTCTGAAGTATTCGCTCCTGCCATAGCAGAGCACTTGATGAACCAACCTGGACACACCATATTATTTGAGAACACAGAAATGCTGGACCACTCTAACAACCAGCATGTCAGGCTACACAGAGAAGCCATTGAAATCCACAAGCAGGTGGACAGTTTCAACAGAAAGGAAGAAACCATGAAATTGACCAAAATCTGGCTACCAATATTAAAAAAACTCTAAAATCAGGACAATAAATAAAGAGCAACACTCAAAATACAAGGGAATTCCAGACAGGAAACAATCAGGACCAGCTAACACCTCCCAACAAAGGATTCCCCCAGGCAGGAAACAGCAAGGCTATTCAGTGCTAATCAAGGTGGCCAATTGCAACATTCACACATGCCCCAAACAGGCAAGAGTTCTTCTTCCCACCCTGGTCATTCCACAGATATATAAACCTCACTTGCCTAGTTTCCAATACACCTCACAATCTCTGAGGATGCCTGCCATAGATGTGACCCAAAAGTCAAGAGAGAATGCTTCTGCCACATGGCCATACAGCCTGGAAAACTCACCGTAATGCAATATCTTGAATGTTATGCTGCAATCCAGAAGAATTGACATCTGTAGAATTTTTCATTGTACTTCAGTGGGAAAATTGCAGGGATGGGATCAGCACGTTGACATTGAGACCTGCAAAAATACAGGCAGGACCTAGTACAGATCTTTGTTATTCTTCTCTCCATGTTTTTGTTGTTGTTGCTGCTTGATGTAGCCACACATTTAATTTCCCACAAAGTCCCATTCCAATGCTTTGGGGTAAATTGGAAGTGTGGTTCATTTCAGCTTCCCAGAACTGCTGCTATCACAGCCAAGACCACAAGGGCCCATTCACAGAAGATATTTTTACCTTGAGCTCACTCTATAGTGCTGGTTCCATTGTACCCATCATGTGAGAGTCTACAAATGTTATTTATTTTGTACTTCAACTGTACCCTTGGTTTACAGTGTCTATTGTTGTTTATGTCTGAAATGGAATTATTTTCAAAGTGTAACATTTGTAAACCTAAGGGCTACTTCAAATGTTGGATTTGGCTATCAGGTATCTTATAATTGGAATTTGTAATGAGGTAAAGATGTAGTGGAAGAGTTCCATCAAGACGTCAGGGTGTATTCTCACAAATCTGTGAGTTTTATTAGGTTTGTTGAGTTGATTTCCCTGTGACAGAAAGGTTATATATATAAAGCTTTCAGCTAAGGATATCTTTTAATTTATCTTTTGTGTATATGTTTATACCATTTTTTTCACGCAATTATGACTAAAGTGGAGTTCACTTGATTGTCACACAAATGGAGATGACTGGTTGCACACCTTTTCATCATAGGAGTGTATATCTGGTACTACTATGGATCTAAAATGTGTTGTACTTTAGATAAGTTGTAAAATGGATTTTATCAAACACAGAAGCATGGGTACCAAAATGTTATTGAAAGGGTTGGATGTTAATTTATTGTGGAGATATCTAGGTTTAGTATGCTGCTTCATTCATTCACTTTGATTTTTGGTACGTACTACAATCATATGCATGTTTTTGTATATATTTCACTGCAGTTACCAACTTAAGGAATTATTTTATTGTACTATGCTTACATTTTATTCCATAAGATAATAGTTTCAACCAGGGAGCTTGCATAAGGAAATGGAGTGTGTCCTTATCCTATATATTAGGCATGGGGAAATTTCAGCCCTCCAGGTGTTTTGGACTTCAACTCCCACAATTCCTAACAGCCTCAGGCATTTTCCTTTTCATTCTCAGCCGCTTAAGCATTTTAATGTTTATTTTTGCATTTTACTGATCTTAACAAGAGGTTTTTTATGATGTTTGTGTTAGTTGTTATTACTTTCTGTTATTGTCTTTCCACTTTTTGTATTTTGTGTGTTTGCACCTTTGAGTGCTTTGTGAGCCTCCCCAAGTATCTGGGAGATGGTGGTGGGAGTATAAATAAAGTTTTTAAAAATTATTATTATTATTATTATTTTAACTCTCTTCTTATAGGCTCTGCTGACAGATCACTGTAGACTAATTCTGTAGCAGCAGTATCCAATCTTTGGTCCTCCAGGTGTTTTGGACTTCAACTCCTAGAATTCCTGACCATTGGACAAGCTAGCCAGGACTTCTGGGAGATGGAGTCTCAAATGTTGTAGGGCCAAAGGTTAGGCATCACAGCTCTATAGCATTCTTCGTGCTGGTAGACATAGAAGTCTTTTGAGTGCCTGAAGTTTGATAATTCACATCTAGGCCTCTTGATTGGCTTAAGTGGCTGAGGAGGAAAAGGAAGAGGCCTGTTAGAAATTGTGGGAGTTGAAGTCCAAAATACCAGGAGGGCTGAAATTTGTGCATGCTTACTATACATGCACACTTGTAGACAATAAACTAAAGTTGTATTGTTGAAGGCTTTCATGGCCGGAATCACTGGGTTGTTGTAGGTTTTTCGGGCTGTATAGCCATATTCCGGAAGCATTCTCTCCTGATGTTTCGCCCCCATCTCAGGCATCCTCAGAGGTTGCGAGGACTTCGTAATCTCTGAGGATGCCTGCTACAGATGCAGGTGAAACGTCAGGAAATAATGCTTCTGAAACATGGCCGTACAGCCTGAAAAACCTACAACAACCCTAACTAAACTTGGTTTGAAACTAATAAGATTTAAATTTTGGAATTTGAAAAAAATCAGTCAACATTAGAGATGGAGGGAAATAAGCAAAAGGCTTCATGTCTTTTGCTCTTGGAATGACAGACTGCACTGCCTATAATTGCAGAATAATGCAGTTGCCGTGATGACAGACTATAACCTTGCTATCACTACTGCGTTTTTACTGAGTCTTGTTCAATCAGATTGCTGAAACATAATATTAAACAATTAATTTTATATATAAAACAGTACTGGACTTCAGTGTAATCAGACTGATGTAAACTTTCATATACTACCTCTTAAACTTCAACCATTAGCATCTTATGGGGTGGGGGGTGTTGTATGCTGAAGGAATACATGAAGGCTTAATGTGTATACATTTTTAAAACTGTAAAACCCAGAATCTAAGTAAGGAAACTTAGGTTTTATTGTGAGTTTTAATATTCTGTTGTATGTTCTTCTTGTATGTGTAATATACACATTCCCAATTTTTGATTGAAGCATATATTATTATGTGTGAACAAATAATGTGGGCTTCTTCATCACAGAATGAAAGTTCTCTTTACAACAATGAGACGATTGTAAACACCTCTAAAGCAATTTGAGGATGGACAAGCCTTTAAGTGCACCTTATCTGAAAGAGCAAAATATGGCTACAACGGTACACTTTTTTGGAATTATTGTATAATTCCAGATGAAGTCGAGCTGAACTGTGAAATCATTGTTCTTCCACCCTGACTTAGGAAGTTATTGTCATGTACTTTTGTGACTTTTCTAACTGAAATCTTTATGCAACATGATTTTTACATGAACATGTATAATATGTCAAAATGTCAGTATTTTTCTTACCACTTCAATGTGTGATGTACATCAATACCACTAAATGAACTTTGATTTTACAAAAATCAGATTGTCATGAGTTGTATGTTAGTCATATTTTTATGAATATGATAATTAAAGAAAAACCCTATGACTGTTATTGATTTGACCCTTGCAAACTTTCAATAATGTTTTATCCTGTAGTCCAGAGATTTTACAGAAATGATTTGATGATTATCAAGCTCGCAGATGACACCAAATTGGGAGGGATAGCTAATACTCCAGAAGACAGGAGCAGGATTCAAAATGATCTTAACAGTTTAGAGAGATGATTGGCCAAAACTAACAAAATGAAGTTCAACAGGGACCAATGCCAGATATTCCACTTAGGCAGAAAAAATTGAAATGCAAAAATACAGAATGGGGGATACCTGGCTTGAAAACAGTACATGTGAAAAATATCTTGGAGTCCTCATGGACAGCAAGTTCAACATGAGCCAACAATGTCATGTGGCGGCTTTAAAAGTCAGTGGGATTTTGGGCTGCATAAATAGAAGCATAGTGTCTAGATCCAGGAAAGTCATGCTAGCCCTCTACTCTGCCTTGGTCAGACCACACCTGGAATCACACTGTGTCCAATTCTGGGCACTGCAATTTAAGGGAGATGTTGACAAGCTGGAATGTGTCCAGAGGAGGGTGACAAAAATGATCAAGGGTCTGGAGAACAAGCCCTATGAGGAGTGACTTAAAGAGTTGGGCACGTTGAGCCTTCAGAAGAGAAGGCTGAAAGGAGACATGATGGCCACGTATAAATATTTGAGGGGAAGTCATAGGGAGGAGAGAGGAAGCTTGTTTTCTGCTGCTCTGAAGACTAGGATGCAGAAAAATAACTTCAAGCTACAGGAAAGGCGATTCCACCTGAAATTAAGGAAGAACTCCCTAATTGTGAAAGCTGTTCAGCAGTGGAACTCTCTGCCCCAGAGTGTGGTAGAGGCTCCTTCTTTGAAGGCTTTTAAACAGAGCATAGATAGCCATCTATCAGGGGTGCTTTGAATGCAATTTTCCTGCTTCTTGGCAGGGGGTTAGACTGGATGACCCATGAGGTCTCTTCCAACTCAATGATTCTATCTCCTCCAGACCATGATGTATCATCCTATTTGCTGCAAAAGTAGAAATCCTTTAGAGCAATGGTTCTCAACCTGGGGCCCCCAGATGTTTTTGGCCTACAACTCCCAGAAATCCCAGCCAGTTTACCAGCTGTTAGGATTTCTGGGAGTTGAAGGCCAAAAACATCTAGGGACCCCAGGTTGAGAACCACTGCTTTAGAGAGCTCACAATACAGAGCATGCCCCATTCACAGCCTAATTCATCACAAGGAGGAAATTAAGGAAAGATCACATAATTTCATGGAAAGCTCTGGAACTGAAAATGAAATGGTTGCCTTCATTTCAGCTGGAGTGGAAAGTACATGAAAACTAACCAACCTCTTACATAGATATTCCACATTTTTTCCATAATAGAACTTAACAGTAGTATGCTTCTGGTCTTCCATCCAGGTGCTAACCCAATCCAGACCCGACTTCACACAAACTTGGACTTATATTACTCTTTTGTGCCCTTTCAATGAAAGAATGTGTGTTCATTTCATTACAGAAAACTTTGAAAGCTGCATTTCACAAAGGCATCTATTAGGATTAACTTTTACTTATCCCATATCAGCTTCTGTCAGCCAGAAAGTCTGCTTTGATTTACTGTCTGTTTAAAGGAGCTGGTCATTTTACAACAACGCAGCCAAAGAAATACCTCTCTGTGGTGGAGGCTTCTTTTTTGAAGTCTTTCAAACAGTAGTTGGGTAACCATCTGTCAAGGGTACTTTGATTGGCTTTTCCTGCATGGCAAGGGATTGGACCAGATGGCCCACAACAAGGTCTCTTCCAATTCCAAGACTCGATGTTTCTATGTTAAAGAGAGCCTTTCAACTTCTGTAGTAGATGAGCAGGAATGGAGAAAGATATAGTATTTAGAATATATGTGCAATTTACCATTGCATGAACTTTCATATAAAATGCATAGGGAATGGTGAACCCACAAATTGCAGTAGACAGCAGCTTCCATCATTCCCTCATCATTGACTATAAGCTGGTAAGTGCTGATATGGCTTGTGATCCAACTCTGGGCTATATTATAATGAATATAAGGGAGGAATATCACCTTATCTAATTTTCTAACCTTGTTTTCATTTTGCGTATATCCAGACTTACTTTGAAATGCCCATGATGTTTATATATTCAGCCGTGAAATGTGGTATATCTTAGACTCCATCATCAATTCATTAGCAATAAAGAGTATCTAACTTTGAGCATTTTAGTTATTTAATTGATGCCTGTAGTGCAGTGGTTCCCAACCTGTGGTCCATGGACCACCAGTGGTCTGCAAGAACTAAATACAGTCTGCGACCTCATTGTTACTACACCGTTGCAACTAGAGCGACTGGTCTTGCAAAACCTTCTTATAGTGCCACGGCTTATTAAATATCGTTTTCTGTGGGTGAGCAGATGACGACTACTGGATGGCATATGTACTGTATCAGAAATTAGAGCTGACGTAGTCCATCAGTGCAGTTTTCTGAATTAGCACCCCAAATAAACCAAATCTAAAGATGACCAATAACTGATTCATAAACCTTTTGGTACTAATGTTGGAGTGTGATTCCTGGTCAAAGTGGTTCCTGGTCAAGTGGTCCCTGGTCAAAAAAAGATTGGGAACCTGCTGTAATGGGATAGGAAAATGACAGAGGTAATTTTTCTGTCACATGGTTGTCCTGTACTGTCATTGTTCTCTTCCATTACAGGGATTAGTTAACTTATCAAAATAGATTTTTTGGGGGGAGGCATATATCAGAAGATAATACTCCTTGCTGTACAGAGCCAGTGTAGTGGTTTGTGCTTTGGACTATGACTGGAGACCAGGGTGTGATTCCTCACTTGGACATAGAAACTCACTTGGTGAGTTTGGGCAAGTCACATATTTTCAGCCCCTGAAAAATTATTTATTTACCATATTTATACCCTGCCCTTTTCACTCTAAAGGGAACTAAGAGCGGCCTTATAGATAGGAAACAATTCAATGCCATATAAAAAATGAAACAATTAAAATAAACAATTACATTAAAATCATAGAATTAAAATCATAGAATTAAAACATCTTAGCAACAAAATTGTAATCCGGAGCCATTCAGGGCCAGTTAACACCTCTCAACAAAGGATCCCCCAGGCAGGAAGCAGCCAGGTTTTGAAGCCATTAAACGCTAATCAAGGTGGCCAACGGCAACATTCTCACTTGTCTCAAGCAGACAAGAGATCTTTCTCCCACCCTGGACATTTCACAGATATATAAATCTCACTTGCCTGATTTCCAACAGATTTCATAACTTCTGAGGATGTCTGCCATAGGCAAAACGTCAGGAGAGAATGCTCCTGGAATATGGCTATACAGCCTGGAAAACTCACAGCAACAAGTGTTTCCAGCCATGAAAGTCTTCGACAATGCATGGAACATTTCAAGGATTGCAGAAATCCAGCCCCTGATTTACAGTAGAGTAAACATTGAGAAGTAATACAGCAATTATCCATCGCGTTAAGTTAATTAGTACATATAATGGAAGAATACAATGACAACACAGAACAATGGTTTTACAGGAAATTATTGTCTCTGTCATTGACCTATGCCACTGCAGCCATTAATTAAATCCCTAAATAGGACAATGGTCTCTCTACAACTCTACAGTGGGACTGCTGAATGACCCTAAGAATAAAGCTTTCTTCTCCTACTGTTGTGCCCTGAGTGTTTAAGTAACTCGGTGATTTTGCTGTTTTGAGAAGTTCATTTCATTAAATTGTATGTAAAATAGTCTCAGACAGTAAGTGTAATGATGAAGTGCACTCCATTGTGTGAAAGGTTACGCTACAATAAATGTATTTGTCTTGAAGGTGACACAATTCAAAATAAACAAATGAGTCATATAAGATGCCAAAAGTGCGCAAAGATAGTTCTCCTTAGTATTCAATGTTTGCATATAAATCTATTTGTTTTGATATGACTCTTCCAGCAGAAAGCTGTCAGCACAGTGATAAAATGAAAGTGCAAATGAGTCATAGGAAATGTCTTAAACCAAGTAGTACTATGCCAGCCAAGACTAATACAGTGTAGCCTCCAGTTGTTATATTGCAACTCCAAGGACTCTCCAGCATTGGATCTGCTGATAGAAGCTGTAGTCTAATAATAACATCTGGAGATACATCTTGTTTCCTCTTGACGTAGGTCCTCCAGGTTCCTTATATGTGTAGAAAGGGCTACACAGTGTTGCTGCAAAGGAGCATGGATAAAGAACAAATGGAGTCCAGGCTGCTTTTTGTGGGCAAGATTACATTGAATTGCTACCTCTCTTGATTTACATTGATCTTTCTGAGATGGTGGTCTATGAATTGGCTCAAGTAACTTAATAAGCAAATAACTTAATAAGCATTTGGAATACTGGCTCATTAGTTGCATAAAGTATCTGGTTGAATGCTGCCTGATAATTCCTGCTTGCAATTGGACAGTGGCGTCACTGCATTTGGTGTCAAGCAGTGTGTTAACACATGATATAACAGCACCCCAAACCAAATAAGTGGCATGAGGCAAAAATAATATATTTCTGCTGAAACAGGGCATGCCAAGAGGGGACACTTCCCAAACACACCCACGCATCAACACACCTTCTCTCCCTCACTCCCTTCTCACATCACGAGTAGCAAGTAGGGCATGTGGGCAACATCTGTGGCTTATCAGATGACTTGTGGAGATAAGAAGATAGTAGGGAGGGGTGGTGAACACACATTGCCATGTTAATAGAGTCTTGGATAGGGAGAAGAAAAGACACCTGTCTTGCTTCCACTCATCACTGAGTTGACTACACTGGGCACATCTACACTTACCATTTAGGTCGGTCTGAACTGGAATAACAGAAACCGGTTTTATGGTGCAAATAACTAGAATGACCTCTATAGACCTAGTTCTAGATTTGGATGGTGATTACATAACCACA